GGTGTGCAAAAACACAATCAATTCGGAGAGCTGGTTGATTTTTTACTGGTCTTCAAACTGTTAGTTAGGCTTCCACAGCGCCTAAAAGGCGCAAACCTGATTATAAAAATTCACCACTTCCAAACTAGTCCCTATATTAATTTAAAATTTCGAAATCTTATAGTAAGAGCCCACGAGACTTTGCGTGTAAAAATTCAATCTATTTAGAGCTTACGTTAATTTTTTACCAATTTTCTAACTTCCGCGTGCTTACACTAACCAAGGGGCAATGGGACGCACTAAGATATAAAAAATCACAACTGCCAAATTCGTCCAGATATTAAGTCGATATTTTTTTCACTTATAGGTAAGACCCTTGGGGATCCTTGTGCAAAAATCCAACTGATTCGAAGCTGGGATTAGTTTTCCACGAATTTTCAAACTTTCGCTTATGCTTCAGTGGAGCCGCAATAGAGCAAACTTGTACATTAAAAATCACGACTTCCAAACTGGTCCTGCCATTGAGTTGAGATTTTGCAGGTTTATAGCGACAACCCTTGGGGATCCTTGGGCGCAAATTCAATTATTTCGGAGGTCATTTGGAGTTTTCATTCATTTTGAAAATTCCCATTGTTACAAAAGATACGCGCAAGCCCGAATATAAAAAATTCTAACTACCAAACTAGTACCAGCATTAAATTCAGATTTTGTGTCTGGGACAGCAAAAACCCTGCAGGACTTGCCTGTGAAAATTCAATTAATTCAAAAAGCGCGTTGAATTGTTGCGGCCTTTTAAATCTCTCAGTCATGGTTCAAAGATGCCAATTGCACAAACATGGCTGTAAAAATTTACCACCGCCAAACTAGCCCAGATCTATAGGAATTTTGTGCAAAATTTGAATTGTTTTCGAACTTGCTTTGATTTTTTGGCAGTTTCCTAGCGTTGCGTTATCTTTCAAAAGGTCTCAGTTGCCTAAACCTTATAATGAAAATTGACATCTTCCAAACCAGTCCAAACCAGTCCAAACCTGATCATAAAAATTCGCATCTGTTAAAACAGTTTCGATATAAAGTTGACATTTTGAAGACTTATAGTTGAAGCGCTGGAGAACTTGTGTGGGAGAAACTCGAGAAATTCTGAAAACGCATAGTCTTTGCCCGGGTTTTAGGCCTTCAGCCATGCGTCAAAAGGCCCTCAATTGAACGAAACCTTCGAATAGATGAAGCCAATGAAAAACTGTTGATTTTTTTTTTAGAAAAAACCTAAGAAAGCAGCTCAAGAAATCCCCAATTCCAAGTTACAGCACATCTACACAACACCTCGCACCTACGAGAACCTGCGGACAATGTTCGCTTGCCAGAAGAATGAAGCCGATCACGACAGCCTGAAGATGGACGCGCCCTGTCTGTGTCAAAACTGTGCCATTGTGGGCGTGCTGACGGATTCGCAGAAGAAGCCGTTTGCAACTGAAGCGATGCCTCATCCAAAAGACGAAGAAGAGGCTCGCCTCAGGCGCGCTGCTAGGAAAAAATCCGTAAAGACCCTCACTGGGAGAAAGCGAATAGGGGGAAAATGTGGGCGCTTTTAGGTGAGCTTCAAAAGCCTGAAGGAGCTGGCGTCTTCGCCTCACCATCACGATCAATGCGAGGCGATCTACAAAGTGCTTTCGACCAGAATCAGCGAGCTGGAGAAGCGACTGATGATGCAAGAGCAACGGGCGGTTCCAAAGGATTATTTCAAAAAAATCATCACCAAGCTGGTCACGCACCTCTCCAAGCTCACTCACTACACAACAGAGGAGAAAACCTTGGTAAACCAACCGAAGAAACTTGCACACTTTTGTTGAAAAACAGTTTTTTAGTCCCAACGCGACAAAGACTACCTGGCGCAGCACAGCCGGATGAAATCAGGCGCAAAGTCCAGCAAATTTCACGTTAATCCGGTTCTGGTGGGAAACTCCTTCAAGATCCCGGCTGAAAAGGAGTACGAGCCGAAACCGTGCTCATCCTCAGAACCCCCGCGCGGCCCCAGCGAAGTCCTGTGGAAATGGGGCGAAGAAGTGCTGCTCTCTGGCAGAGACCTGAAGAACAAGGTGGTTTATCTGTTGGAGGAAACGCTGCGAAACTTGAGGAAGGGATTCGAGAAACCGCAAAGCAGCCATCGGTGAGAAACAGCTGAAAAGCTCCTAAATTGTATTGATTGATGCGTGTGAAGGTGCGAGGAAGACATTCAGTCCATTGTGGATGAACTGTCGAAAAATCTGGCGGAAACTGTGAGGATGAGCTCGGCCCGAAGCAGAGACGCCAGACGATCCAGAAGCAAACACCATGCGAATAATTTGTGCAAGCAACGGGCCGAGCACGACAGAAAATCTGCAAAACCGTCGATGATTCCACGTTATCACAACAATAAAAGGCTCGGTAAGTTTACAATTTTTTAGGCAAAGGAGCGACGCCAAAGAGATGATTGATCGCGCACCAAACAGTTCTAAAAATAGTTTTTTTGTATTTTTAACCGAAAAATCGTAGGCCCCTCCATCAATGTGGCGTACATCAATCCACAGCTGACTAAATGGCCTGAAGAGTCGTCAGTCTCTTTCAAGATTGATGCCAGTGACTATGACTCGCATAGAGAAACCATGACTGAAGCCAGGAAAAATCAATGTGAGTTTTCCTATGCAACTAAGGCAAGTTTGCAGGTTGTTTTTTCAAATTTGTAGACAAACGGGAGTTTTATAAGGTGCTGGAAAGCACCAAAAGAGCCGATCGATTCAAGCTGTGGCAGAACATCTGGAACCAGGCGGTTGAGAATCGCCAAGGCAAGTCGGATACGGTCTCGATCCAGATCCCAGACCCCAAGGACTTGCTGAGGCAGAAAATGATCCACTTGGAGTACACGATCGGAGAGTTGGAGCATCTGCTGCTGAAGGATGACGCCCAATGCTAAACTGGGACGTTGTTGGTGTCTTTCAAGTAAAGTGTGGCAACAAGCAATTTGGCTGCGTTTTATTCCGCTCACTTTTGTACGCGTAAAAATAAATAAAATACTGTATAAACAGGCAGGTTAACGTAAAATGGTAAACTCGATATTCACTGGGGCGAGCGGTGAGGAGCTCTGGTCGCTCAAGAGGGTGCTGGAAGCTCTGGAGGCGTCCTCAAACCCCATTTCTGAGATGACCTTTTCAACTTCCGCCTCCCTTCCAGTCGTCCAGTGTTCGTACAGATCAGGCCGATACCCAACGGACTTCAGCTCGGCGGCTCGGAAGTTTTCCTCTATGAAATCCCTTTCCTCCTCCAGAGTTGTCCTGGAAAACTTTGCTGCGGCATCAATTGTGGGAGGACCGGGAAGGTTACCTTTTCAGAGAGTCGATGTGCTGCTTGTGCTCTGGAGGCTCCCCACTGAAAAGCCGCAAATTAACCAACTGTGCCAACAAAAGGAACCTCCTGAGGCTACTTTGCCAAAGCCTCCTCGTCGTACTGGAAGATGCAGTTAACACCAGGCACAAAAAACCCATCAATGGTGTCAAAGCAGCCTTCCGGAACATCCACTGTCGGTTGCCTGTTGGTTTGCAGCTCCTCCCCAGGGCCTCTCAAGTCAGTGTTGGCCTCTATTTGGAACCTACCCATTGCTCAGGTGAGACCAGATGAGGTTGAAGACTGCCGCCTACCTCCTATCGGGGATTTGGCAGTAGGTCCAGGGGCTCCTCATCGGCAGCCCATCTTGGAAGACGAAGATCTGGCTGATCAGCTTGCCGTTCTTCCAGTAGCCTTTCAACTTGTGCCCCACTGGGTAGGTGATGGTGCCCTTGCCGTGGAACTGGCCATCTCGGAAGGATCCCTCGTAAATTGCTCCTAGGGGGTTGAGGTTGAGGATGGGGTTTTTGGGTTAGCTGCAGATATACCGTGAGGGAAAACGTAGGTTCCAAATCCTGCGAACCCTAACGCATTCCAGCTCCCCTCGTAGGAGCTCCCGGACGCGAAGTGCTCTAGGGGCTTTTCCTGTTCTGCTTGAGCTGGATGGAGCCCTGCAGTGAATGGGGAGTGAGGGAGAGTGATTAAGCAAAAGGGCCTTCTGAAGCTCACCTCCATAGCCAGGGAAATAATCAACGCGCTTGCAAAACACCGAAGAAGGTTTTTTGAGGCCTACTTTATCCCAATCTGGGGTGAGCGTCTTTCGGACCTTCGGCCTGGCAACATACCCGAATGGCTTCTTTACTCGTAAAATCTTGGAGTGGTTTTTCTGCTGCTGCCGTGACAAAACTCGTAGTAAATCTGACATGAACTAGCCGCTGCAGGTGGAAGCACACACACACTATCCGCACTAATTGAATTTTTTCCATCCACCACCAAAGCGTGTAATCAATGTTTCATAATGCGGTCATTATGTGATTTGTGCGAATGCAATTTTCCACTTTTCCGCAGTTTAATGACTTGGCCACGTGTCGAAAGTTGCCGCTTCATATATCGAAAACTGCATTTAATGGCGTTGCAACCCAATTCCTGCAGGATTAAAAGCCCATCCATAATTATAACATTTTCACAGGTTATTACAGTTAAAGCGAAGGTGTATTGTAAAAGTTGCTGATGGCAAATTGTTCCAGAAATCGTCCACCAAGCGTTTAATCATAAAGTTGAAATTGGTTCATTCCAGGAATAAAACTGGAAAAGAACGTTTTTGATTTCCCTCTTAATGTTAAATAGAGAAAAACGTGAACAAATCGACATGAACGTGCAGAATGGTCTCGTCTACAGGGTGGGCCAATTTGGGGACTTCAGATAACAATAGGGAATGGAAAATCAATATGAGTTTGCATTATCTATCGTCCCCTAAAGTTGCTGCCAAGAAAATCAGACCACCCGGTATATTACTGCATAAATTCCTTCGGAAAAAAACACTGGATTTTTAGCATTTAAAAGAAACCAGTGTTTTTTCTTCCAAAAGGTCCCAACGATAGTCTACTCTTAACCGCTTTTATTTCTTTTAAAAGGTACTAAGCGCGCATATTTTAAAAATATTTTGGCAATTTTACGTGCACCAGAAAAGTGGCAGCGCATGAAACAACTCGTTCTCTGACTCCATTTTGTGATTTTTACGTAAATTTCAATTATTTTTGGCTACATGAAATATGAAAGAAGATTTAATAGTTTTTCAGACATTCGGCTGTAACGATGATAGTTCGCCTTCTTATGACATTTTCTCCACATGGAAAGTTCCTTTTCTGCCTTACGACCCAAAATTTTGAAATGTAGCAGGCAAAAGGGCCAGTACTACAGGGCGATCATAACAGTCGTTCAAAGTAACGTGTTTTCAATAATAAGTAACACAATATACGGGGTGTGCCCCAAGATTTTTGATCTGGAAAATACGATAGTTTCGACGATTGTTCTGAGCTCGCTGTAGCTTAAATTACAAATATTTTGCACACCAGATTTTACCAAAGTATTAGTCCATTCTCCTACCAAATTTGAGAATTTTCTGTGGTCAGACAACGAAGATATTTACACAATAGAGAATGGAAAACCAAAATGAGTTTGCATTATACTCTATGCTCCCCTAAAGTTTCTGCCCTGAAAATCAGACCACCCGGTATATTACTGCAAATGAGGTACTATACAGAGTGTCCGCAAAAGTTTCTGAGGGATGTTATTCGAACTAGTTGACAGAGTGACTTAAATTTCTGAGTCCAGGCTCGTGGACGCCACTGTTTGCCTTTAACGGCCCATAATTATTTGAGCGCACTGTATATCAATCTTGGCTCTCATGCTTCGGGATGCTTCGGCTTTTCTGAGCAAAATATCTGTCTTGGTGAAAACCTCTAAAAGCAGCCGTTTTCGAAATATTGGCAAACTGAAACCGAGCTGAAGCACAATTTTTTCAGTGATAGGGATTTTTATTCACCTTCGCCACGTTAATAGTGCGATTACTTAGGGCAATGAAAAACTAATAAAAACACCAAAAAATCAATCGAAGATGAAGATATTTTGCCCAAAAAAATTGGGCGTTTGTTTTTGCACTAGTTTTTTCTGTTTTCGCGCTCGAAAGAATATCGGTTTTTTTGGATTCGAGCTTTGGTTGTTTAAAACTGCAATAAAAACGACTTTTTTTAAGTTGATTTTTGCCAGTGTTTACCAAGGCTTTGAAACTCAATAGCGAATATTTTTTGCAATGTAATGGTTTTTGCACTACTTGTTGCAAATACTGTCAAAACAGTTTGGACATTAAAAACAAAGGTTTGATCAAGACTTTATTTTTAGAGAAAATGTTCTTTAGATTCGGAACAATGCTGTAAATTTTCAGCAATTTTCTATGAACTTGTTTTATTAAGAAAAAAGCAATTTTTAGACTCGAAATTTCGGCTTTTCGCAAGCCAAACTATGTGGAAGTGGAAACGCGAACAAATTCGCATCGAAGAACAACAATCAACAATGAGAGTTCGGTTTTTTCAGCAAATTCAGTTTACTGAGTGTTTTTCGTTCCTTGAAATAATTTTCAGCTGGTTTTCCAAAAAAAAAACATAACTTTTTGCACCATTTTTGCGTATGACTTCAAACTGAGCCTCCACAATTCGCAAAGAGTTTGCTAATGGCCTACTTTTTGAAAATTTGCTTTCTTCCTTCCTATGAATGCACTTCTTTGATTTACTCCTTGGAATTTCACAAAAAAAAAACGATAGCAATGAATTTTCCAGAACAATGAAGTATTTGAATAGCCTTAAAAGCCTTAATTTTTCTAATGAAGGAGTTCAATACGAGCGCCCCAAAGTCGCAAAACTTTTAATCTTGTATACAAAACCCAGTATAAATTAGAAACAAAATTGCGGTCACTTTTTATATTAAAGAGAGCAATTAAGATTCCATCGCTTAGTCAGAGTAAAATTAATTCTTAATGATCAAAGTTGATCAGTCGATCGCCGTCTGTTAAATAAAAGTCTGGCACTGGAAACAACTGAACCCTTTGTGGCATTTTTTGGCAGCCAACCACGTTTAATTAGAGAATCTACCGTTGCAGTCATATTGAGTTTCGCCGTGCAGGATTTTTATAGAAAATTAAGATCGAAAGCGATTATAGGACCTACTATGCTAGGCCGAGACCAAGTAGGCTGCAGGCAAACCCCAGAAAACATCTTTAAGGTGAAATAAATCCTGCTGGAAAGCCTTAACTAGCCTTTTCCGACTCTCCCGGATGATTTTTGATTGGCTCCTTCAGCAGCATCCTGCAATGTTGCGCGACTATTGAAAATTTCTTTTGCAAAATAATTGCAATGGCTCCTTCAGCTTAGTATGCCCGGTCGCCCAATCAAATAACGACATGCTAACGATGTGAGTTATCCTCACTTAGATTTTAAATTAAGCTTTGGTCTATATAAAACCTGCAAGTGCCGCTCTCCAAGTCTCTCTTTAAAGTTCAGCGGTGTGCGAAAGTGCGAGCCAAGTTGTTCAGGCATGGTAAGCAAATTGGAATTTTATCCCCTAAAAGCGATTGGAGTTGAGCTCAAATCGGGTAGGATCGAAGCGAATTTTTAACCAAATTCCCCCGAAGAAGCCTTCTCTCTTTGCTTGATTTTTGTGCTATTTTGTGCGTATTTCGCAAATGTAACTCACTGCTTCGCTTGTCTTCCAGACTGACGCACTTAAACCAAAGGAGTTAGAATGTAAGTATGAACTGCTTCAGCCGAAATCCGAAGATCCGCAGCGGAAAAGACTTTATTAAATATTTGAACAAGCTGCCGCTTATTTGCTTTGTTCATTTTTCAATTAATCTCAGGCCTGGAGTTTGCCCTGGAAGTTTATGGCGGAAATGAGAAAATTATCGATTCTACTGACTTGGGGCCTGTGTGCAGAGCGATGAACTGCAACCCCAGTTTGGAGCGATTGGAACAACTTGGAGCCGCCAAAAAAAAGGGTACTGATCGATAAAAAGCCCAATTTGCCCTAAACTTTCGAACTGGACAAAGTCTGATTGTTTCGAGCAATTTGGCTTGGGTTTGAAGCCTTATTTAGCCCCATTTGCCCTCTGCAAGTGCATGTAGCGGCAATAGTTAAGCATCTTAGATTAATTCTCCACAGGGTGGCCAATGAAAAAATGTAAAACTGCGGCTAACTGGGCACGCCCCTGGTTCGACGAAAAAGATATTTTTTTGGATTTCAACGGCAAAAGTTTAAAGGTAAACCAAGCAGCTCGAAACGGTTTTTGAATTTTTCCCCATCTCTTCTGTATACAGGGTGGTCTCAAAAAATCAACTTTCAGGGCTTAAACTTCCTAGACAATTCAAGACGAAAATTTAGTATACAATATTGCACAAAAAAATCTGGAAGATTTGCAACTAAGTGAAGTTTTCACTTTGAAATGTTCTTTGAAGTTTTCATCCTTCGGATATTTTGTTCATTCAGGCAACCGGCTATATTGAATTTTATTCACATTTTTCTGTATTCTATTCGGAGATATTATCTTAATGCTTCTTGTATTGAACTTGGTTATTGAAAAAAGTTGTTTTTTGGCCGTCTAGGAGCAAGTGAAGCGTTCATCAATTTTACATTGTTTCATTTGCCACCCTGTAGAAACTTTACTTGGGGCAACGATTGCATGCAAAAACACCCGCTAACCGGAAAAGACTTGTTCTAACTAACACTTCAAACAGACATCAAATCGCTGCAAACAATCAGAATTTATCCAGTTTCAAAATTAGACAAAATTTGCCCATAAAAAGTCTGTTTTATTCAGTAGCTTAGTTGAAGGGAACAAGGCAAGCCAGTATTTCCCGAACAGGTTTTGGACCTATTCGTCTTCATCATCCGAGTTTAGCGTGCAAACGACCAATCCAAAAATTTCTTCGGGAAAAAGCACTGGTTTTTTAGCATTTTTAACCTCCGGGGAGCTGAAAATCCACCCGAAAAGTTCGACCGGAAGAGAACATTTTTTTAAAACACATTTTAGAAATATTCTGGCAATTTTACGTGCACCAGAAAAGTTGCTGCGCACGAAACAACTCATTTTCTGATTGCATTTTGTAATTTTTACGCAAATTTCAATTATTTTTTGCAACACGAAATATGAAGGAAGATTTAATAGCTTTTCAGACGTTCAGCTGTAACGATGATAGTTCGCCTTTTTATGGCATTTCCTCCACATGGAGAGTTTCTCCACTGCCTTACGACTCAAAATTTTGAAATTTAGCAGGAGAAAGGGCCAGTACTACAGGGCGATCATAACAGTCGCTTAAACTAACGTGTTTTCAATAATAATTAACACAATATACCGGGTGTGCAGTTTAAAATAAGTAAATTTTTTGTGCTAGAAAATACGATAGTTTGTTAGGACGATTGTTCTCAGCTAGCTGTAGTTTGAATTAAAAATATTTTGCACACCGGACTTTAACAAAGTATTAGTCCTTTCTCCTGCCAAATTTGATAATTTTCTGTCGTCAGACAGCGGAGATATTTTCCATATGGAGACAGCACCACAAAAATGGAAATTTTCATCGTTAACTCAGACTACCGAAAAATCGATTAAATTTTCTTTCACAGTTTATAACACAAAAATTAAGGGAAACTTACATGAAAACTGACTTAAACCATCCAGTACTTTTGGCTTTGGCTTTTGCAAGCCCTGATGAAGAGCACAAAAACTGGACAACCATTGAATTAAACTCAAGTGAAAATGTTGCATTTCCAGGAGAAAAACAGCTTAAGCTAGCTGACATCGTTCCCATAGTCGTCACGCTGAAGAACGAGAGAAAGGACGAAGGATGCTACGAAGACTTTGTCGAGTGCTTGAAACTCTATGATAAGAACGAGGATGGGAACATGATGGCTGCCGAATTGTCGCACATGATGCTCAGCTTAGGTAAACCAAGAGTTCTGAATATTTTCCAAATTCTCACTGATTTCTCTAGCTGAGAAGCTGACTGACGCTGAAGTGGATGAGCTGTTTGAAGACTGTCTAGGCGAAGAAGATGACGAAGGCCAAATCAAATACGATCGTAAGTGTTTCACCTTGACTAGAATCACTTCAGGCCATTTAGCGTGTGGTTTTTAGCATTTTTGAGACGAATGTGCGAGTTGGACCCTCCGTTGAAGAAGAAGAAGAAATAAGCACCAGACTGTATAGGAGTTAGCGAGAAATGCACCTAATTTTCCTAATCAACCTCGTATTTAGATTAGAACACCGGTTCCTAAAGTCTAAGTGTGCTTTCAAATGGATCAGTTAACAATAAGCCACTGGTTAATGTTAATATAACTCTTCTACAAAGTTCTTCTGGCTATTATTGAAGCAAATTTCATAGAAAATCGGTACCCAACTGAAAGTGTCCCTGGTTTCGAGGGAGAGTTCTGAACGATTACCGAAAATAAATCGCTTTTTAGTGCATCGAACACAAAAGTGAAAAACAATCGTTTTGTCTTTTTAGGACATTTTTTCCTCTTTTGAGTTTTTAGTCCTTTTTATAAAGGACGTTTTCTTGGTGTCTCTTTTTATAGTTTTCATTCAGGCACATGTTTCGTGGGGCGTTGAATAAAACCGCTTTTAAGGGCCCTATTTTTCTAAAGAAGCATCCATTCAAAACAGGCGAAAAAAGTTAAAAAATCGATAAAAAGAGCAATTGCAATAAATGCAACGGCTAATAAAAAGCAGCTAGTGTTCTGAAAAAATGCTGTAAAATCCTGCACAAGAAAGGTAGAAAATGCGCTCCTTAAGACCACGAACACAGAACTTTCAGATGAATAAAATTGGTTAATTTCTCAAACTTTGGCTGATTCCTGCTCTAATGAGTTTTCGAAGCTTTCTGTTCATTTTACTCCGAGATCTGCCCCAAATAGGCCCCAAAAAAAAGACTCGAATAATTTTTCCTTCGTCTGAGCACCAATTTAAGTTCTTGTTTCGTTTCTTTATAGTTGAATTTTGCATTTACATTGAAGCTTCGGCTGTTAAAGAAAAATAAAGTGGTGTTCAAAGCCCACATAAAAAAACCGAACTTTAAATGGAAACACACAAGATTGCTAATAAAAATGCTGCCGTAAATTTTATGAGACATATCGCTCATAATGGACTGAAAACCGAAGAAAAATTGCGTTAGACGCGCTAGTAAAATCGAATTTTCTAGCGCTAATTAAAGCCTCAGCCGGTTTAAAAGACAATAAAAAACTATATCGGTGAAATTAAGCGTTCCTGCTGAAAATCAATTTTCCAAATCATCCATCACCGCTCTTACCAAAGCGTAGAAAACAAAACTGGGTAAAAAAACAGGGACAAAAAAGCGTACTTTATAGAAAACTAGATTGAATGTGAAACTTTGTGTGTGTCAGTCTGGAAGCATCAATGTTAGATGTTTTAGACGGGAATTCGGGCCCACCTCATCATATATCAAATCGCATGAAAGACCCTTAGGCTCAGGCAAAAAATGTCCCTTTAACTTTCCCACTTGCTGGAAAGCATGTGAAATTTTCTGCAGACAATGAAATCAGGCAGTCTGGAAAAATGTTTTATTTTCATCCACAAACATTCGCTGTAAGCTAAACAACCATCTAATATAGAATTGCCATTGATTTCTTAGCTAGAATGAGTAAAGTTACATAACTACTATAGACGTATTTTTCCCCGATTTAACTCCTATTTACAATTTGCCTCCTCTCGTTGCTTAGATGGGTTCATCCAGCACATCTTTCACGTTCTTCTTTCTGCGGCCGTTGCTTGTTCCATTGGTATTCTGGCTGCTTCTTTTCATGGAAGATGGCCTGCCGGTCCCACTTTGGTAGGTGGACAGTCGATTTTTGCGGTTCAGTGTTATGTAGGTGGTAAACGTGTTGTTCCGTTGCAATGTTGTGCTATCAGTTCCTTCCAGGCCTAGAAAAACCCCAACAACTTATTTGTATGTATCAAACACTAACCGCAGTTGAAAAACAAAATTCCCTGAATGGACCCTGTCCAGTTTAATGGACAAACCGTGGAGGATTTATGGGTTAAACGGGATTAAGTTAACTCGTATAACTCATAGAAATGGAGTTTTATACTTATCTTGGAAACTACGGCAGCAATAAATAGTTCCGCTATAAAACAACAGGGAAGAAAATAAACTCTGGGGATTTTCATTTAATCAATTCGCAGTTTCTAGCGAAAAGTTAACTCCCATGCAGGCATTTTTCGGCAAAAGATTAGGGCGATTGTTTATTGATTGCAAGTTGATGGCTCGTGGCAAAAAACGAACTTTAGCTGAAAATCTGGTGAAATTAGCGCGCTTTCAGCTGCAGATTCTTTTCCTGTCTGGTTTTGTTTACCTCAACTTCAAATTGCAAGGAAACTTAATATGCGCGTCTCAGCAGCAGCGCTTATTTTATTACGGAATATTTCAAAGGAATAACCGACTTCAAAAGATTCAACTTGTTGAGGTTGTCGGGCTCTAAAGGGTTTTCCAGCACGAGAAACCCGCATAGCCAGGTGGCTCCTGCGCCGAGCAAACGAATAAAAACTCGGCAGTTTCCATATATTTTTATTTGGCGTTAACGTGGACAGCCGCTCTCGTTTAAGGGCAGTAAACAATTTACTAGGAGCCACATAATAGACGATAAACGCCATAAGGACGACCCATAAGATCCAACGAGTTTTTAATTCTGCAGCTTTATGGCCCCCCTGGGCTTATGCGTCCAGTTATTGCACTTTTCAACCTGCTGATTTAATGTTTGCGGTTTATTTCTTGGAAACGTGCCCGATTTAATAAAGCAACGCCGTTTAATAGTCCCGGACATTTTAGCAAGTTGTGGGCAACTTCCCTGATCCAAAACTCGTCCATGTGCAGTTAAATCTCCAATTAAGCGCCTGGTTCGGTTTAACAACAGCAAACAAAGAAGGAAATTGTATCTTTTGCTCAATCTTTTTCCAAGACCAGGCAAATCCGCAGGATTTAGATTGGAGACGCATTAGGAAACAAGACCCTTCCATTATGCTTATCGTTCGCTTAAATAAGGGGCTCTGGGGACTTTGTCCGGGGGAATTTCAATTTGCTTTTTATACTGCCCTTATTTCATAATAACATACACTATGTGTTGAAAGTCCCAAATTGTTTTTTTCCGGTAACAATTGTGTCTAATTTTAATTTTTTTGTGTCTGACAACAGAAGAAGAATTCGCCTTGATTAATGGGCAAAAATAACGCAAATTTTAAAGGCCTTTTTTATTTTCCGGGCAGTTGGAAGGAAACCGATTAAAGCAGCAAAACTACCAGGCAACTTCAGCAATTACCGCAGTATTTYATGAGGGCAAAATTGCTTAAAACTGTTCGTTTGTACGGCATTAWATACTGGATGGCACTGGAAAATTAAACAAACGTYGGACAACAAAGCTTGAACCTTCAAAGRGAGGAAGATAAATATTGAAATCAATTGACGAGACGCAGCCCGAAGRCTTAAAATTAAACGGAAAACTGCAGCCTTGCCCGATCACTTCACTATTGATGGAAAATTAATTTCAACTTTCCCGATATCCTGGGCAAACATCGACTGTTCTCACTGCTGCCCTCGCTTGAAAAATTAAGTTCATCACTTGCGAAAGGAGCAAGTTTTGCGTCGAAATTTGCACAATTTCAAGCCAGTTAAGGGGAGAATCTTCTGAAAAATTGCTGGCTGGATTTGGAAACATTAAATCAGTTAATCGCAATCAATTTAGCTTCAGCAAACGATTAGCATTAAAGCCGAGTGCACAAATGATGCTACAATGGAACTGCGTTATTTTTCAATTTGAATAAGTTTAATCAGACTCGAGCACAGTTCAATAAGGATGAAGTTTCAAAGTGCAATTAGAGTCCTCGAATGGGATCGGTTTGGACGACTTGATGAATCTGACGAGTTGTAAAAGCATTTGCCTGTTATTTGCTTTGGATAATCCACTATTCTGCATCTGATTTAGATTTGCGAATGCAAAAACTACATTTGCGTGTATTTATCAAATGGGACTAAATACGCTAAAAAGTGTGCTGGGTTTAAAGCTGCGCTCGCTTTTACGACGCATAATATCATTTAAAGTTTCCTCACTAATTAACAGCCAAATTTGTTGCGAGAGACTGATGTTTGATCAATTAAGTAGGTTTAATCAACAGGCTTAGCGAAAAATTTCCTGAAAAGTTAAGTAAGCTTTGGAATCAGTTGATATTTGCCTTRTTGGCTGGASAAGTTGGYTAGGACTTTTTTATTTAAAATTGTTCAAAAAAATGCAATAGCGCCGATGAKWAGTTATTTTTTGCAAAATGTGTCTCTSGAAGTGGCTTTAAGCTGTGACGAAAMAATCAGCTCTCTAACTTTAGCGGTTAAGCAGAGCAAAATTTTTTAAAGTTGGCTTGCAATTTTCACTTATTCTGGTTCGGCTGAAATAAAAAAAAACGGTTTGGCTRTTGATCAAGTGAATMTTTGMAGGAAGTATTTTTGGGAACAGCTTTTACGTGCAGTGAAGAAAACTTCAAGCCTCCAACATTTCTGGACAGCTGGKAATTTTTTTTTGAAAGTTGCACATTTTGCGGTGTTTGGCTTCTACCGGAAAAAAATCAATAAAGTTGTTATCGATTGTTTCGGTAGTCGCTTATAACTGCGCAAAAAAATTGAAACCTCCAGCTTCTGAGGTTCAGTGGGTCGAGTTTCTTGAAAGTTGGCTTGCACATTTTCTGAAGCTTGAAGTTCAAAAAGTAGTTAATTTAAAAATGTACTCAATATTTGCTGGGTGAACTTTTAACAGTGTCTTTCACCTGCGGAAGAATTTGCGAATCTCCACCTTCCGGGGTTAAGCACGGATTTTTTGTCGAAAGTTCACTTGATTGAATCAAAAGCTTGAAATTTTCCAAAAAAATTAAACAATTTTTGAATGAAGTTGATATTTGCTGGGTGAATTTTTAATAGTGTTTTTCAACTGTGGCAAATTTTTCAAATCTGCAGCTTCTGTGATTAAGCACGGAATTTTTTTCGAAAGTTTCCTTGTACATCTTGCCTCATTCTGACTAAACTTGAAATTGAAAAAAACGGGGTTTTTGATTGTTTTGATATTTCCAAGGAGTGTTTCTGGTAGTGTTCTTTAGGTGCAGTCAAAATTTCAAATCTCCTGCTTTTGTGGTTCAGCAGGAAAATTATTTTGAATTTTGCCATTTTCCGTTTTCTACGGAAAATTCAAGAAAAATCAACCAAGTCATCGATTGAATTCCTATTTGTAAGACGTGGTTTTGGTAGTGTTTTTTTTGCACATTTTCATTTTTCTCGTTCTGTTTGAAATTAAAAAAAAAATGTAAATTTTTGGATTCTGTGCAAATTTGCAGTATGCGGTTTTACAAATGAGTTTAAATGTAATGAAAATTTAATTAAAAATCGCCAACTTGTGTGGTTAAATGCGCAAATTTTTTGAAACTTGTTTTGCACATTTTTTATTTTTCTGGTTCTGTTTGAAATAAAAAAAATGTTAATTTTTGGATTCTGTGCATATTTGCAGCATGCGGTTTTGTAAATGTGTTTCAACTGTAATAAAAATTTAATTTAAAATCGTCAACTTGTTTTGCACATTTTTCATTTTTCTGGTTCTGTTTGAAACCAAAAAAAAATGTAAATTTTTGGATTCTGTGCATATTTGCAGCATGTGATTTTGTAAATGTGTTTCAACTGTAATAAAAATTTTATTTAAAATCGTCAACTTGTTTTGGACCTTGTTTTGCACATTTTTCATTTTGCTGGTTCTGTTTGAAACAAAAAAAAATGTAAATTTTTGCATTCTGTGCATATTTGCAGCATGCGGTTTTGTAAATGGGTTTCAACTGTAATAAAAATTAATTTAAAACCGTCAACTTGCTTTGGAGCTTGTTTTGCACAATTTTCATTTTTCTGGTTCTGTTTGAAGCCAAAAAAATGAAAATTTTTGGATTCTGTGCATATTTGCAGCATGTGATTTTGTAAATGTGTTTCAACTGTAATGAAAATTTTATTTAAAATCGTCAACTTGTTTTGCACATTTTTAATTTTTCTGGTTCTGTTTGAAACAAAAAAATGTAAATTTTTGGATTCTGTGCATATTTGCAGCATGTGATTTTGCAAATGTTGTGTGGTTAAACGCGCAATTTTTTTTGAAACTTGTTTTGCACATTTTTCTGGTTCTGTTTGAAATTAAACAAAAAATGTACATTTTAGGATTCTGCTGATTTTTCCACGATGTCTTTCTACCAAGATGGAAAATCGTTTGGGAAAATTTCCAAATCGCCAACTTCTATGGTAAAGCGCGGACTTTTTTTTGAAAGATCGGTTGCACAATTTGACTTTGTTTAACTTAATTGTGTTTCTCAAAGTTAATAAAGGTTTGCATAGTTTATATTGCAAAATCCGTTTTAGTAGCCTATGATGAAAATTTTAAATCCCTAACTTTTGCAGTAAAGCAGAGCAAATTTTTTGAAACTTGGCTTTCACATTTTACCTTTTTCTGACTCAGTTTAGAATTTGCAAAAAAATTAACAAATAAACCCTCCGATTAAATTTGCATGATGAATTTGCGATGGTGTCACTTACCTCCGGTGTAAAATTGCATTTTTCTGCAGTTTCTGTGGTTAAGCAGGAAAAATTCTTGAAAGTTTGCGCTCATATTTTGCCATTTTTGCATCTAAAATTTATTTCAAAACTTCAACTGACCTCAAATTTTCGGTGGTGCCTTTTACCTATGGTGAAAACTCAAAACTTATTGAAAAATTAGAAAACTTTTCGAAAAAAACGAAAGAAAATGTGCACAAACTACTGAACCTTCGGATGAACCAGTCTAGTTTATAATTTCGCTTCCAATTTGGTATTAAAAGTGTGTTTTATTGCCCCAATTGTTTGCAACTGATTAACCTCAGGTTGATAACAATCGGCTTCGGCAGTGACGAGGCTCAAAAGCTAATCCTGCTGGTTCCAACTCAAAACAGCCAACACTTGAGGCCGCACTACATAAATGATCCTAAAATTCCTGTTCGGGCTGTTTGGAGGCTTGCTTCTGCTGAAGCTGTACTTTGGGCACAGCAGGAAAAAGTGCGTGAATAATGTGAGTTTGCTCGGGAAAACTGCCGTTGTTACCGGCTCGAATACAGGTAAACCAGGGAAAACTGCTACTTTGGAATGTTAATAAACGATTGAGTTGGTTGCAGGAATCGGTTTGAGGGCTGCTTTGGAGTTGGCAAAACGGGGCGCCCGAGTGCTTTTGGCCTGCAGGGATCAGGAACGTGCTGAGCTGGCGAGAGCGGAAATTGTAAAACTTACCGGAAATGACAGTGTGATTATTAAGCTGGTAAGAACTTTGTTCCAACTTAATTGAAAGGGGGAATTTTTTGCGGTCTTTGAAGAACTAGTGGCTGAAAGCGGACGATTGTAAGCAGCAAAAACCTCGCAAAATTGCTCTTTTTGTAGGTGAAATCTTGAAATTCCAGGTGGATTTTTCGTCGCTAGCTTCAGTGGAAAAATGCGCCAAAGACATCCAAGAGAATGAGCCTAAAATCGACATCCTGGTTAACAACGCTGGAGTTGGAGGCCTGATCGACAAGTACACTGAGGATGGGTTGAACATCTGCATGCAAGTGAACTACTTTGGGCCCACGCTGTTCACCTTTTTGCTTTTGGGTGAGGAGTGCTTTGGGTTCTTCATTCATTCTGGAGCATTTTGCGCTTCAACCCTGGCAAAGACCAATCGAGAGAAACCGATTAATTTCTAACCGAATTGGAAAACTTTGCGCGTTCAAACCTCAACTAGTGTCACACTTGAAACAAACAAAGCGAGTAAAAACGAGTTTAGCTCAAATTGAGTCCATCAAACGACTGGTTTAACTAGCAATCTCATTACTCAAAGGAAAAGCGGTACTATCTGTGACCCATTTCTCTATGTCGGCTTGCGGTGCGAATTGGCCGAAGGAAAATGCCAATTTTCCTGTCGACACTTACATTTTCCACTGAACAGAATCCGAATGGGTTTGGGCCGTAAAAGGAAAGACCGGAAATGAATCTTTCCCTGAACAGTTGCTTGACATGAAGCGCCGCTTAATGACTTTATAAATATTAAATTTTTCTACTTTTCAAGATGATGTCAACAGGAAGTAAACAGCGGCAGAGCAAAACAGGAATTACCATAACGGGATTTCTGCATAATATTTCCCTATAAATCTGAAAAACTACGGCAATGTCGAGTTTAACAAAGGGCTTAATGAGCCGTATCCATTAGGTAGGAGCACTCCATTATTATGTAGCTGAGGAAAGCGTCTTCAACTCCACTCAGTGAAACTGTTGAGGCAACAGTGCTTTGCAAACATTCCTTTGAGGGAATTTCCCATCCACTATCACTATCATAAACTCACTTAATGCTGATTAAAGCACGGAACAAAGCTAGAAAATAGCTTCTAATTGCCTCAGTTACTCTGTTAAAGATCTGCTGAAAAAGTCCTCAAACAGCCGAATAATCAACGTGGCTTCGCTGCTGGCAAAAATGGGCAATTTCAGCGTAAAAACCATCAACCAATATGCTGGCAGGTATGGAACTTACGCCAACTCCAAGCTGTGTAACATTTTTTTCACCGTCAAGCTGGCCAGAGAACTCAAAGGTGGGTTTTTGCAAAAAACACGCAAAATCAGCTACTTGAGTCCGATTCCAGATGCCAGAATCAGCGTCTTTTCCCTCCATCCTGGAGCAGTGAAAACCGACATATTCCGAAGACTCAAAGGCTGGAGAAGAGCCCTTCTGGACCTTGTAGCGTACTTCACCTTTAAAGTAAGTAAAGTAGGGCAAAAAGGGCATTTTCCGTCTAATCACACTTTAACAAGTTGGCCCCTCATCCAAAGCAAAAAGTCTTTGAATTCAGCTTCTACCAGGACCCGTTTCAGACCCTCTTGTTCAAATCAGTTAATAGTTTTCGGGGAAAAAAGTCCTGCGATTTAAGGAAAATGTCAAGAACCTTTAGGAAAGTTTGACTGTGAAGGGATGAGCGCAATTTCAATAAAGTTCGATGAGCAAGTTGGATTTTGTTAATTGAAAAGTCGCAGCCAGTTTGAGCCGATTTAGCAAGACAAGGGTGAAGACGAACGGCAAAAAAAGTTCCAAAACTGATACGAAACAGACACTCCCAGCAATGCGTATTCGATATTTGCTGGGCTTCCTTTGAGGCTTCAGTGTATTGTTTTGATTGTTGAAAAACTTTCCAGAACTGCTTGTTTGGAGGAGAAAAGTGCTTTTTTATAAGTTTGTTGTCGTGCCTTGAAATATTTCAGCCAAATTTGGCAAACTAGATAAAAAAATCCGTCCTGAAGGATTTCGAGTGAATTTTTAATGCCTCAATGGGCTCCATTTTGCAAACAAACTCTTTCGGCCACTGTTAGAACCTGTTGAGTTTTCCGGTTTTCCTGATGTTTCACAGGCACGCATGCTTCGTATCTTCAAAGCTAGTTGGTGCTAGAAGAAATAGCTTTTCTTCAATTTTACAAGTCAAGTAAAAGTTAATGGCGCGAGCAAAAAAGCGTCTTAACTAGTGGCGGATTGAGGTTTATATACTCAGGAAGTCTTAAATGTAAAGTCGATTCTTTTGGTTTTTTGACAAATTTTTGATTCCGACTTACTGTTTGAACGTAGAGCGCAGTTTTGCAGATGTC